GGTTATTTCTTCATTTTATTTAATAAATCAAGTTGTTGTTGGTTACACTCTGTTAGAACCTATAAGAGTTATAAAAATATAATATTAGTTTCATTCGTGATTCATAGTAGTACAGAGTGGAGCACTTCATTTCTCATTACTCATCACTCCCAGGGGTAACAACCTAGGGCCGCCACAATCACGAACTTATTAAAGAAAAACTTGATATTTAAAACAGAAAATAAACATATAATTACATAAAACCTGAACAATCTGAAATATCTCGGTAATTTCAATTTCATTCTTTATAGACGAATCAGGAGATTCTTCAAGATCTGCCCCTTGAAGTCTCACAACGATTTGCCCACCACATCATTTTTACAGATATTTCTTATTGTAGTTAATATATATTGGAGTATCGTTAATGTTCCTTCAATAACTGTCAAACCCCCGCGATATACGCGGTTGTAAATCGACTTGGGAAAGTGTACTACATCGTATTACTGCGTGGGCGCACTCGGGTACGTAGAAAGCTTAAGTTTACATTAGTAGGACAGTTAAAACATTAATCATGGAAATCTTTAGTTATTCCAATAATAAATAATGACATTGAAAGATTAAGGATTAGTTTCGCAATATGATTATCTACATAAAGGCAATTATTTGTTCTTACTTAAACTTCTGTATGTAGTATAAAACAGACCTTTCCCGCCATCTTTATCTGAGATCTTTTAACGGCTTTATTACAAGACGGCGCGAACGAAGCCGCTGGCGGATAGCGGGTATTTTTATATTATGTATATTATTTACACATTAAGTTATTTTTAGTCAGAATATTATAATGATATAAAATAACCGTCTCAGTTAATCGCATTCGTCTGTAAATAAATTATCATATTTATGAATAACTACTGTTCGAAACATTAAACATCTGTTAACAGCGATCGTATTAATATAATAAGGATGGACAGTTTGTTTGTTTGTTTGTGGAAACCGCTAAATGGTTGTTATCTATTTAATAAAAATCTATACAGACACAACATATACAGTAAACCAATACTTATCAAAGAAATAGTAGATTATAATGTGAAATATACAAAGGAACATTATACAAAATATTCAAGGAATACAAAAGATTATAAAAAAGTTTATATCTAATAGGTTGGGCGTCTGAATATATTCGTTTGAATTAAAAGACAATTGGTGTAACGGGACAACTAGTAATTTGTTATTTATTTTCTAATTACAATGTTACATCAGATGAAACATGTATTTATGATGAAAAAAATCTTACGTCTCACTGCCAATATCTTTCTCATTTCCGTCGTTCACAAAAATAACTATTGTAACTGCGTCGACAATCGCGTTCGCTTTGTTCGTAAAAACGATCGTCGTAAACATAAATCCACCTGATATTATTTATGCGGAATGATGTTCGTTAGTTAATTGTTCATTACATAATAATACTCTGAGTAGTGGTTCGCAAACCTTTTTGACGATGAAATCATTTCGAAAGTCAAAATATTTACGCGAAGCTCTAAAACAATACAAAACCCAGTTTTATCTACGATCCCTTCTATCAGCATAATGCTCTTATTACTAATATTTTTGGGAATAGTATTTTTGGCATAATTGTGTTGAGCACAATAATTTTTTACCATACAATATATGTTATCAGAGCGTTTGAAGCTCTTTGTGTATTGAAGTGATTTTAATGAGCGTGCTGCGGCACCGGTGCTTGATCTTATTATTGTACTAAGAGAAATTATTGTTAAATTTATGCTTAAATATAATTAAGATAGGACATACAAAAGTATACCATGTTATATTAATTATGTCTTAAGATTTTATGCAAATGGAAAGTGAACCGTTTTATGTATACTAGGAATAATAATGTATTACGTGTATCATTTCATTTGCCAAACTAAGTATAAGCAATATTTTGGTAAACACTTTAAGAAACACTGCTCTAGAGTAGAGATGTATGTATATATGTAGGTATAACAGTTTGGGTAAATTATTTTGTTTGTTTATTAATCAAACCTAATACACAAGATCGATTTATTCTGTTTGTGATTCAGTGGTTACCTGCATTGCTACTATGAAATTCAACTGCAAGCGAGCAATCAGTTTCAAATCCGTGAAAAATTAAAGAGATCACGGACAGTGGCTTATAGGATATGAGAATTTATATAATAAATACCTAATAAAAATTTACAGGAAAACTTGTTTATTGCCTTTTCTATAATAAAATAATTATAAAGTTTATTATAGAAATGTAAATGTTCACAGTCACACCCCATTCTGTGTGTATAGTTGTGGTTACAGGTCAACAACTGTGCTGGGTGGTGACGATAAATTAGAAATAGATAATTGACCGCTATCGGGCGTCGACTGCCGCTCTAATTATAGCACATCTATCACCGTTTGTTTATAGTTCAATAATAATTATACTGTTCCGATGAGGAATGCATAATTCCTATTTCTGACGCAATGATTATAACATGTATGCCGATTATCGAAACATGGCTGCGTACACATTAACACGACGACATTTTTATATGAACATTTTTAGACCCATTCTTCTTAAAAATGTAAATGGTCCGAAACGTGTTGTTTTTTTATTGGCAGGGCTTAACAAAATCCCTTGATATCGTACTTGATTTTCTAGGGATCACCAAAGGTTAGAAAAAACCTCTACCTACTGCACGTTTCAATTTGGTTATATTAAATAAATTAATTGATTCCTTATCGTAAAGATCTTATCTTGATTAAGGTCAAATTGATAAGATACCTGCAGTGCATTTACGTTACGCATATGCTTTTCATTCACCATTCATTTTCACCATAAGTTACCTGGAAAAAATTGCTGTTTAGCAATAAGGCCGCCATTTGTTTACTAAACCTCTTAGATAATAAGCTTTTGTAAACAATGTATTATATTGAGTGCAATAAAGTAGTTTATTATTATTATTATTTATTGTGTTCAGTGCTTTAAGTGCGCTAGTCCTGTTCCTGGAACGTGAATTATAATTTTGATGTCTCACGTCGTATTCACATAGGAAACTATATTTTATATAATAATTTCTTTGGTCTGAGTAGCGTTCCAGTATTTTTAACTTAGTGTATTGTCGTTCGTATGCGCAATTTTGGAATGAGAGTAGATTTCATACACTCTACATACACGCATAAAGAGCCAAGGTTTGATTACTTGTTTCTTAGCATTGAATAAGCACTAAAACTATAGGACCTATTTGAAAACTTCATTAACCTACGCGAAACATCCTACCAAGGTACCATTGGCTATAATAAACACGGAAAAGTCGCGGTTAAACAACTAGTATTTCATCATTGTGATATTTGACTGTGAATATAATATAAAATACTTCGAAGACACAAAACAAAGACAAAAGGGGACTGTGTAATGCTTGAATATGTTACAAAATGTAGGTTCTTAATCGTAATTATCTCACATAATACACAAAATAATCTAAGTACACACGGCTGCACGTCAGGATGTCACAAAAGTAATTTAATTATTTATTCTTGTTTGCAAAAAAAAATCAATCACAAAAGGCGGATTTAATACGTAAGGCATTTTCTACCAGTCAACCTGAATAGATGTTGGGGATCAGTTAAAGGCGATATAATTAAAAAAAAAGTATGTCATAAAGTATTTCTGTAATTGATTTTAAATATGCTTTTCTGTAGTTGATTTTAAACTCAGCCCACATAGCATTAAGATTTAATATCAAGTGGAGAAATTTTATACAGATCTTAATGGAAAATGCTTAAAAAACCACTTTGTCCCCGGTTATCTGAGATGAAATTCGAACCCACGACCTTTCCCAACCCAGATTGCGATCATCATTAAGAATATTTTACATATTAATAATAATAATAATGCAAAATTAATGAAATATAATAATTGGATAGATATGTTTAACTTAACGTGCTGTAAACAGTTTAAAAAGAAATCCCCCGACGTCCGTCACCGTTGGACGCTCAATTGGATGATTGCATCCCGCAGGAGTCCAATTCTGGTGATCGGCTGAGGTCGTCAGGTTATTGTGTGCAAATGACACTCGTGTTTATATGGAAATTGGTCGTTCAGTGAAGGCTCACCGCTCTGGCAATCTACTCTTGTTGCTTCTAGTTATACATACATACGTTTGTGATGAAGTGAACTCGTACTAGCCAGGGCTTTGTTGAATAGCATTGATTTATTAACATGTTTGTATTATTTTATTAGAAGTAATGTGTTTATTAAAAAATGTGCAATGATGAATTTATTCCTGATAGAGATTTTTCTTCTGACTTTACTAGAGCGGTGATACCCCGCTATCGTTACACCTGTGACTTATTAGGATAACTGATTATGGTCTAACTGGAGATTAGGCAACTGAATAATATTATTATATCTTTTTATACGTCTTAAATCATGTTCTAAGTTTCTTTTTTTTTCAACTTGTAGGTTCTTTTTTTTGTTGCACTGTATTAAAGTATCACAATATATGTAATACTATCTACACTATATCCAATTTATTAACGCCATATTATCTTTGAAATCATAATATTGAATATTTATCAATGCGTTCAGTCCCTAGTCGAGGGTTAGCCATTTGGATTAATTACAAAAATGTGGTCTATCAGTATAATCCAAATAGGCCGCATATCAATTTCAATGGAATTCACTTAAGATATCGACGATCGCAATACCTGAGAGCATAATTAAATTATGAAACCGTTCCATATCTTATCGACACGTGCACATATAACCTCATTTGAAAACAAATTAATTCGCACACAGTATGTACAGAAGGAATCAATTTCTGCTGACGTCATTTCAGTGGTTTTCTAGTTACAATGTTATCTATATTTTATTTAAAATATACTTCAATAACTATATTAAAAGCTACCGCTCATAATCGAACACTGTTGAACTACTCTTACTCGATTGAATTGCTCAGCTAAAGACCGACTATTTGATTCTTGGTTTGATTTGATGATCGAGAAGTAAAAATTTAATTATTTATTCATTATTCGTAGAAATTTAAGAGTTTAAATGATTTACAGGTGGAACAACGCGATGTACCGGGCATCGACTGTGCACACCTCGCCATGGACACCGAGGAGGGTGTGGAGGTGGTTTGGAACGAGGTGCAGTTCTCTGAACGCAAGAACTTCAAGGCGCAAGAAGACAAAATACAAATGGTGTTCGACAATCTCACACGGCTTGAGCACCCTAACATTGTCAAGTTCCACAGATACTGGACCGACACGCACAACGACAAACCCCGGGTTAGTTACGTATGCTCATATCATTTTATTTGCCTCTATATCCTTGCAAGAAAGAAAAAAAGCAAATGTGCCCAGACCAAGACCTTAGCTTCAATTTTCAAGCATTCCTAATAGCCATAGCACTGCCTAAATAGGTCAATAAGTTTTAAATTGTTTGATGTGTGATGACATGTGTCTTTATTCTTTTATGCAGGTAATATTTATAACGGAATACATGTCATGCGGTTCACTAAAGCAATTCCTGAAACGCACCAAACGCAACGTAAAACGACTGCCCTTGCAGGCATGGAAGCGGTGGTGCACACAGATCTTATCAGCTCTTAGGTAAACTAACATTATTATATAACTAAAGCTTTTCAGTACACAAAACAATAGATTATGGCTATTTTATAGCATTGTGGTTATGTACTGATCAGATTACGCATTAATATTCGCACAGCTATCTTCATGAATGCGTCCCGCCCATCGTCCACGGTAACCTGACCTGCGACACGATCTTCATCCAGCACAACGGGCTCGTTAAAATCGGCTCCGTCGCACCCGACGCCATTCACCACCACGTCAAGACCTGCCGCGAGAATATGCGCAACATGCACCTTATCGCACCAGAATACGGATGTAAGTACTCATTCCTTCTACGGAAACGATAGTGGGAAGTTAAAAGGTTCCTTCTGCTTGGATCCTTGCATAAACTCTCGTTTCTTCTTCACTTAGTTTAGTGATTTGCTTAAATCTTTTATAATTCTTGCGTACGGTTTAGTATATAGGACCTTTTCGGTGCGGAAAAAACAAGAGATGCATACCAGGATCTTAGCAGGAGAAACATCACTATGTATTTATTCCAATTTTGTTTCCCTCGAAATAGCATCTCAAATGGTGACACCAGCGATGGATATCTACTCGTTCGGAATGTGCGCTCTGGAGACTGCCGCTCTTGAGATTCAGGGGAACGGTGACTCGGGCAGCCACGTCACCGAGGAGCACATCGTGCGTACTGTCGAATCGTTGGAGGAGCCCAGGCAGAAGGACTTCATATACAGGTACATCCCCATACAGCAGGTGTCGTAACTCGTATATAGATAAATTACTAACGGTAAGTGTGTATGTGGGTGAGTTCTCTGCTTGCGCCTGGCTCGGAGTCTTGTCGAAGGACGGAACTGATCTCGGCGAACCTGTGTTTTCAGGTGCATTAACAAAGACCCGGCGAAAAGGCCCACGGCGAGAGAGCTTCTGTTCCACCCGCTTCTCTTCGAGGTGCACTCCTTGAAACTGCTGGCGGCCCACACATTGGTCAACACTACAGGTGAGTTTACTACATATATTTTTAATGATAATGAAATCAATCAAGCGGTACTTTGAAAGACTTACTGCATTAATATTTTACTGCTTTCACGAAGTATACCAAATAAAAATTTGTAGTGATAAATTTGCGGTAATTTAAGACTGATCCCAAATCTGTATGTGTAATACGTAGCGAACATATCGGAGACGATAACAGATGAAGTGGCCGGGGGCGGGCGCGACTCTCCTCTGGCGTGGTGTACGCGCAGCGGGGAGCGCGTGGAGGTGGCCGCTAAAGATTTGCCGCCGCACGCCGAGAAACTGGAGAAGTTCGTCGAGGACGTCAAGTGAGTGTGCTCATCACAGAATTTTTTAGACGACGCTTCTTCTTTGAATAAAATTACATCGGGAGAACGAGGGACAGATCGGTGGATATTAACGACAGGCAACAGGTGGAACTGCAGGTTGACGTGCTTGAATTATTATATCTTTTTGGTTACTCATCCGACGGCATACTTATTTATTTATTCTTTATTGCATTTAAACACAATATTCTCTGCCAGTCTACCGGTAACTGATTTTGGAGTCAGGATGTCAGGCGATAAGAATAAAAAGCAGAATAATAAACACTCTCGTCGAAGTGATTTAATTTCTGCAATCGCAGACCTAATCGCTGCCAGACCGAGTTCTTTCGAGGAGCTCGTCCGAGTCGAGACCGCCGTCGAATCGACGCAATGCGGGTGGACGTTTTCGTACATTTTCGAGCAAAATAGCTCGATCGATTCAGAAGACATGAAAAAATTAAAGCGTCACGACCGTTCAGAGCTCAGACGAAATACGGAGGCGGACGTTATTACATGTCGGGGCGCGTTGCAGGTACGGCATCTACCCGCTGACGGCGTACAGCCGCGCGGCGAGTGGCGCGCGCGCCGCGTCCCCCTGCCCCGCGCCCGCCGCCCCCGCCGCCTCGCCCCCCCCGCGCGACCACGAGACGCGCCGCGTCGTCAACATGATGTGCTCGCTGCAGCCGCACCACCACCTCGACCAGCCCGACCTGCTGGTCTGTATCGTGTCATCTATAATGAGTATTGTCACGTCGCGTAAGCTATTAACGTCGAACTCGTATCCGTGAAGCAGATGACGATCCTCCTGCGCATGGACGACAAGATGAACCGGCAGCTGACGTGCGGCGTCACGCGCCGCGACACCGCGCCCGCGCTCAGCCACGAGCTCGTGCAGCTCGGGTTCATACACGAGGTCAGCGCAGTCGTCGTTCGTGCTAGCCGTTCGATCTGAACCGATCGACGTGTCGATGATGTTTCGCTTCGCTCTGTTGCAGGCGGACCGCGACAAGCTGTGCCGGCTGATCGACGACACGCTGCGCGGCGGCCCGCCCCCCGCGCCCCTCCCCGCGCCGCCCCCCGCGCAGCACGTGGCCAGCTAGTGACCCTCCGCGCCGTCTCCGCCCCCTCCACACCCCCTCCACCCGCCCACCTGTCCGGGATTGTTGCTGTCGTTCCTCTCTGGAGCCCGAACGTTTTAATATCCCGCGTTTCCGAATTGCGATGATCCGCTTCGTCGCGGCCGAGGTGCATCGAAATACCGCGGAGCACTTTTAAATTGAAAATTGAGGCATCGTTGCTTGTTTTCGTCGAGCGTTCCGAATTTAAATATCGAGGAGAGATAGATCGAATCCTATAAGTTTGTATGACGGGTGATTTTTAAGTTTCGCGTCGCTTCGATCGCGCCCGGTCCCCGTTCTCTCTGTTTCCCGCCCTCCCCTGTCCCGATTCACCCGCCCGATCGACGAGGAGCGGCGGACCCGAGTCGGACCCCTGCGGTCCTCCGCGTCGAAAAATATAAACCCGCGGCGAAGCCTCGGGGAAATAGAGGGGCCTGTTTTGAAAATCCGAACGATATTCGGGCGATCTTTGGATACGATCGGAACGAAGGGGGAACCTCCGCCGAGAGAGACCTGATCGAAAGCTTTCCTGAATTCCGCCCGAGTCTTCGTGCATTGAACGAAAAATACAACACCCATATTTATATTTCGACTCCTTCCGGTGGAAATACGTTAAATGATTAAATCGATTTCGTGAGTGATGCTTCTCGTATGGCGGTTCCTCGTCTCGATACAAAAGTGTGAAGTCTCGCTCGAGTCGGTGGGCCCCGGCGTAACATTATACTTCCGCAGCACTTTAGCTTGTATTGATATTTAACAAGGTTTTATCGTAGTCGAATAGACGCGGTCGCGAGGTTTCGAAGCTCGCTTTCTGCGATTACTTCTCGACCGTCGTCGGCACCCGAAGCGAGTTTCGAAATCCTCCCCCGCTTAGATTAGGCTAGGCTAGATATTAATGCATATTTATACTTAGAGAAGAGAGGGTCTTATGAAGAGATTTTGTATCGCCGAATATTTATTTTTGCATACGAAAGGGTTGAAAATAAATCACTCGAATTGACAGTTTCTCGTGACTCGTTCCCTTTCAGTTCTCGTTCATGAATTGTTTATTTGTATATTTATAGTTCCGATGGGATCCTGTCGGACGAGTCACGGGTTACGAGATGATCGAATTTCAGTATTTACCGCTTGGAACTAAACCTTGTTGGTTAATACGCTCCACGATTGGATTATGTCAAAAATGTTTAGTATCATTATTATCTTCTGTGATATAATTATTAATTTTAATATAAACGTTCAAGTCTTACTCTTGTAATTTATAGTTAATTAATAATATTGTGTTTAGTTCCAAGTGCTATGTATCCAGCCGCGATTAACAATCTACTAGTCGTTCGTGAATCTAAACGAGCTACCGAATCATTTGTATTGATATCGATATGCTTCTTTAATATAAAAAAATATATATATAAATTGTAAAAAATCATCACTAGAAAAATTGTAAGGAAAATTGTAAAGGAAATTATTCGAGGAGGTTCATAGCAGTTAGTTCGGACATCGAGAATGCTTTAGTGGTTAGGGTTTGTATGATCGTGTAAATGTAAAAAAAAATGATATTTAAAAAATATATTTAATCGAACGATAACTTTAATCGTAATTATATATAGAGAGGCTTCCTCTTAGAGCTTTATGGATGTGGTTATAAGTATACGGAAAATTGAACATACTCACTACGAAGATAAGTTTCGAATTCGCTCTCGATCCCCGTTTCGACTGCGATTCAGCTAAATGTACTCGGGGAGTGTGATAAGGACGGCTGCGGCGGTAGAGAGAGACAGCACGTCTGGTGTTACGCTTCTCGCGTCACGGTCGAAGTCAATTGTCAAATCGTGTGATTTTTTTATAAAGTGTAGTCGAGTAACTGTTGCATTTATGAAATACATTTTGCTGGGATCGTTTGATTTTTCTATACGTAAACGCTATAGTGGTGCTAGTATGTATGTACACCATGTTGTATAAATTCGCTAATTGTATAAAATTTGAATTTTTGTAATAGCTCGTGCTGGCACCTTGTTCCTAGTTTTTCTTTTGCTGTCTGTGCCCGTAATCATAGTGGAGCGATCGACGTTTGTGTCGATGTCGATGTCGATATCGATGTCGATGTCGACGTCGACGAGTCGAGCTCGTGATCACGAGGCGCCGGTGCTTATTTCGAATTTAAGTGAATTTTTGTCAATTTTATTTTGTAATTTGTATAATTTGGTTAAAAATCTACGTTCGGTCAATGCTAGTGGTGCCAAAAATACGAGGTGCCAATTATATAGTGATTCTTCGGTTTTTGCTGGCGGCGACTGACTTCTTAATCAAATTTATAAAATATTTATTCCCGTTTCAGTTCTTTTTTTATACGAAACACGAAGAATATAATTTAACTAAGTTACTCCTCAGGCTCAATTCTATTGAAGGGTATTAATATATCATACATATTTATTTTTAGATTTAAGCTGCTATGCCAGAATTGGGCCCTGTACATTATTGAACTTGTATGTATGCCATGCACAATTCTTTCAATTGAATCCTTATCGAGTTAGTGAGATATAGTGTGCATCTAAGTCAGTAGTCGCCTGTGATGTCATATTATATGCCAACATTGTTATTTATACTTTGATTTTTTTTTCAAAGAGCGGCGAGCGGTCTTCCTTGGTCTCGAAAATTATGTAAATTAACTTTTCCCTATATTTTAGCAAAACATTCTTTCTATAAACTTAAGAGAAGGTAATGTATATTAATGTGTTTATTGAAAAAATATATATCGATTGTTTTCTCATATACATAGGTTTATCAATATGCATGCAATAAGAAACATTTTTTATTTAAAAATTTCCTCTTTCCTTTTAATCCGGACGAAGAATGTGAATGTTACTTTACACTAAGTGTAGGTATACTCAAAATTTCACTAAATTTAGTTTAAAACGCCGTTAATTTTGTTTACTCGATTATTATCGCGCAACAGTTCGCGTATCCAAGTGGAGACCGCCGCCAGATGTCGCGGGCGCGGGCCGGCCCTAGTGTAGTGCAACCGAAAGACTGGCTAATGTTACGTGCGGCGCGGCCACTCGCTCCCACACGCCTTATCGATATCGATATATCATACACTTCAAATTTTGACAAACAACACTACTGATACGAATATGAGAAATTTCACGTTCTCTTCTTAATAATTTGTCCGTGTCGATGTGTTGTGTAGATTTCATTAATACACTTAATTTAATTAATATATATAAATAATGCACCGGTGCAAATTCGCAGTCAAATTGGATCTATCCCCACTACAATTATTTCAAAGTAAACTCTCAAACGTTGTCGGTGGAACCGTTATGTAGCTTTTGAATGTGCCTTAACACAACGTAGCTGTAAGCCGTAACTATGGCGTTGGCACATAAAATGTTACAACTGATCTATGTTAAATAATGCATTCAATAATGAACGGATATAATGCGAGCGAGTGACCGGCGAGTGAAGTCGGGAGGCAGGCGTGTATTAGGTGAAGTGGCGTATCCCTGTAAATATTCGCTTCTAGTTTATTGAAACTTAATTATAAAATGAATATTATTATCTTAACTGAAGTATATGTACCTTATGTATTTAACAGGCGTTTAGTGTTTACCCGTCGTGTCGTATGTCACGTTATTTTATTATTATTTACCCACTGGAAGTTGTCCATGTTGTATCGAGAAACTTATTTGATTTATTATTCCATAAGATAATATACCAACTCATGGTTTGCCGTTGCTCCCATATCATTGCCACGCGGTTACCAAATAAAATAAATCAAATATGCTCCCGGTACACACAGCGACACATCAAATTATCACAATATGTCAACTTTTCGGTAATGTGTGTAAATGTAAAAACAAGTGGAGAAATTTGAGTTTTGTATAACATGACGTACTGTGATGAGAGTGAACAGATATTATATCGCTGTTTTTTTTTTTAATATGAAGATGACTCTTTTATTCGATAACCGTAATTTTGTATAATATTATATTGCCTCGCGCTGTTTGCTTTTGCAATATAACGAGATATCTCCACATCTTTGTTCCTATGTCTATTTTAACATTATTTATGTTTATGTCATATATTATTATGTCTTTACGTTTTTATTTTACAATAAAAAATGGACACATTATAACACATGTTTATTTCTCATTTCGTTTCGAACAATTCGTTGTATATAATTGTTTAGTTTTTTTGCTTTACGTCCAAAGAAGAGATGTGTTCATTTTAAAATTGTCATTTTTTTTTTTGTTTTATTATGAATTTTTATGCATTGAGATTGTAAAATGATTAGGTATTTATTTTAGCCAGAATTGCATTTCCCACTCGGTGTGCTGGGCTGATATAATGAAATTACCATGTAGTGTATATCCGTTGCGATGGCGTACGAGTATGGTGTAGCCGTACCTACTATGTATTCAGTAACGTGTATGATTAATATGCTCAAAGTGACGTATAACCCATTACAAATGATCGAACGGTCGAGTGATGTTTGCATACTATTCTAAAATGAAAATGTCAATAAAATTGTATTTTAAAAGCGAACATGTGTTTCTTTTTTATTATATAATATTATGTCGGATTTTTTTTTTTTTTATAGTGTGCAATGTCATATTTGAATTGAATATGACATTGCACACTATATGCAATACTGCAAAGTTTCATGTCATTGACACTAACAAGTATGTTAGAAAATTTTATTTGACTAAAGATAAATATTATCTTTCCAATTATTATAAGAGACAAATAGCTATTTCGCTATCATATTTTTTTTCTATAACAGCCAAAAATTTGGCTAACCAGAGTGCTCCTATTGAGCACTCTTCTATTGACATGACTGTCAGTAATAATCCTACTGACATTGCGACAAATTCGTCTTTAAATTAGATACTAAGACAACAGAGGATTCCTCTTGCTTGCTATTGAATAGTCAAAGTAATAATGGAACCAAGAGTTTTTCAGTCATCAACCTAGTGCACCAAAATGTT